CTCTCCTCTCTCCTCATCCAGTTCTCAGGAGCGGCCCCTCCAGCCCGCCCCTCCGTTGCCTTCTTCTCTCTCCTGGGCATGGTCTTGTCTGGCCCAGTCTCTGTCTCGGCCAGGCCTCTCCACAAGCCTTCTCTCATCCCGTCTCTCTCTTCCACTTGCCCACCCCACACTGAACTCTGTTTCTCCCTGTGAGCTCTCTGGTCTTCTGTGCCTCCTCCCTCCTCTTGGTTGTCCCCTGTGGCTCCCCTGAGGCCCATGTTGCTCCCAAAGGGGCCTAGATGGACATGGTCTTTCTGAGCAACCAGGAGAGGCACAAGGGGTGAGACAGGAAAGGGGAGCCGGGGATATTGGGGGAGAGTTGTGGGGGGAAGAGGAGAGTTGGCAAAGAGGATGGGAAAGGAGCAAGCCACTGGCCCAGGGAGATGAGCAGATTGGAAGGAGGGGCCTGGGTGCTGATGGGATGTACGGTAAAGAGCTGGGAGAGCGGGAGAGAAAATGGAGGAGAGAGCGCTGGGGGTGGGCGGGAGGAACCTATGGAACGTTGGTGTTGGGATTGCCTCGGAGATGGCCACCCGCTTGGCAGGCATAGGAGAAAAACAGCCCGGAGAGGGGCCATGGCTGCCTGCTGCCACACGGGAGCAGAGGAGGAGCGGAGGGCGCCCAGGGCAGAGCCGGGAGGTGGCGGGAAACTGAGTAAAGGAGCCCGGGAAGGGGAGGCAGGTGAGAGGAGGGAGGAGGGCCAGAGGACAGATGGAAGAGTAGGGCCGAGGCCACCTGTCAGGCTGCACCACCTCCGCTCCCTTAGCCATGGGGGTGGCAAAGGACAGGCTTCTCTGGGGCCCCCCGCTTGGCTAGCTTAGGAGACCTTTCCTCTCTGCCCCAGTGTCCCCTTACCCCCAAGGGGGAGCCTCTTTCTGCATCTGCTTCTCTACTTCCCTTCTCTTGGGGGGCGTGGATCTCATTGCTTTTCTTCTTTGCCTTCCCTCCCTCCTGTTCTTCACTCT